CAGACATGTGGGTGGGACTGGAAAGGCTAGATCTGCTCACTCTGGAGAGGAGAAATGTCAATGTTCTCATTTATTATCTCAGATTTTTCTTCGGGGTCTTCTTGCTCACAGGGCATGAACAAAATGGCCAATGTTGCCTATAGATGAGCAATGATTATATACTGGCCTCTAAACAGGGTGCCTCTGTGGTTAACTTCAGTATTGGCAAAATGCAGAGTCCTTATGCAGACGTCAAGGCCCTCTGGTCTCTTCAAATTGACCAACTCAATGCTGTTCCTCACTTACCCTGCTTCAGACTCACGTACATTAATCCTCCTCCTCCAGCACACCAGCACGTGCATTCCAGCCCCCTTTGGAAAACTCCCGGTTTTGCTGACTTCTAATCATTAAGGCCCTGATGTAAATGTCACCTCTTCTGTGATGCCCGCCCTGATCACTCTTTCTAAAGTAGAAAATTGTTCCTCTACTAATCAGTCACTCTGCAGCACTTGATCCTTTTTTAAGTTCCCAACCCTGACTTATTTTCTTCAATTTATGTATAAGTTTGTAGCTGAATGGATGCCTTATGGGAACAGGGATCTTGTTTTCCTGTTCACTACACTTTCCTGGAACTCACAGTGCCTGGCACCCCACTGATGCCTAGTAAATATTTGTGAAATTGAGGTAAATGAATCCTCACATTGCGCCTTGCTAGAAAAAAGTAATCACCCTCTGACCTGTCGTATGCCAGACTTAGAGAACTGATTGTGATTAAAATGGTGGGACGCTAACCACAAGAAACAAAAAGTACCACGGTTACACCTGTCAATCTCATTGTCTCTGGTGGTTCAGTATACATATCTGGGGCTTCTCCAGTTTTAAAGTTGAAGAACACGTGGTTTATAATTAGCGCCTTGGTCTGCAAAGAAATGTTTTGTTTTATTAATCATAGCTCTGGAGATCTGTTTAAATTAGCAGCTTCTATGTCCTAAGATGGATCTGTATACTATCACAGCTCACACCCCAACTTTATAAACCCTTCCTTTTCCTCAAAATAACTATGAGCAGAACCGAAGAACCAATTCCTGGCTGGGTGACTTGGGACAACTTTTGAACCTCTTGAGATGCACCAGTAAAATGGGCATAAT